TGATTTTGCCAGTATTTAGCAGCCTAATATGTCTGCCTGAAGTAATTCCATGTAAGGTAGCTGAGATGAAGTTCATCCAAAGGCATATGCTGTATGGGAGAATGGGATGGAAAGGACCCAAATTAGATTTGCCTCAGGCTACTGTGGCAGCTCGTGTAGACATGGATAAATTTTGAACCATAGAAAGCCGAAGTGATTTTGTTTAACAAACTGGTTTTCTCACTTTTAAATAAGCTGGCCTGTAATATCACGATTTGTTTTGGTTTTCCTCAATGAAAGTTCTGAATTCTTCAGCTAACCAGGAAATTTTATGGAGGGGATTTACAAGCTAAAAAAGCCCCAAATCTCACTGTTTCTAACATCCTTTAACCACGATGGATTGAGCCCTAAGAAAAAGTGAATGTAATCATTTTATAGTCTGCATCATTATGTTGCTTCCTTCTGACCTTAGCAAGATTTTGGCAACTGAGCTGGGTTAAAAATTGGAGAAAATCAGCCATACACATCTCAGTTAAATGTAAGTATTGTCTGTAATTGAGAGGGAAATTTGATAATGTATTGTGTGTGAGATAGGGTTAGGACAATCTGTCACAAGAGTTATATTTATTCAGATTCCTTACATATCCCAGACTCTTGGCATTGTGAGGATAAAGCACAAAAAAAATGGAGTTTGTCTCCAAGCTTTGTAATGAACAAAGCATTGGGGGGAAAAATCCATTACATTGCACCTGTTGTTATGGACAGTGCTTCTTGTTACTGAGGCTCTGTTTCCTTGGATGCCTATTTGGCTCTGTTTTGGTTAACAAGGTACCTACTTCAGTGCATGTTATGTATCACTTATTTAACAGGATATCTGTTTTCTGTGTTGTCTTTTAAATCAGAAAGCATTTAGATTGCCCAGTTTGGGGGTATGTGGAATGGGGACAGTGTGTACCCTTTGGTTATGTTTCTTTCTGAGGTCAGTGGGATTTTGTCAAGAGACTGATACATCCAAATTCAAGTTTGCTTGTGTCAAGTTAGTGAAGAACAGGGACACTTCCTTTGGATTTTCTTCCTTTGGTATTTTTATGCACTTACACAGCCAAATACAAGTGCATGTGAAGCAGAGCCCTGTTCTGCATGAGAGATGAGAAGCTGCTCTGGGTGTGTGTATCACAGCTGAGTCAGCTGGGTCCCTGCTGCACTCAGCTTTGTTGTTTCAAAAAGGGCTATATCCTAAAGTATCTCATTCTGGTAAATATTAGTAAGCCCTACAGTGAATTTTGATCACTAAAGTTGACTAAGATACACTCTCTGCCCTGTGTGTTGTGTCTGGTAAATAGCTGGTTCCTGTGGGAACCTAAAAAGGTAGAGGGTCCTTGGTACCACAGAAATTCTTTAAACAAAGCTTGATCATAGCAAATTCTAACATTAGCCTTCGAAGAAGGATAAAAGAGGAGGAAGAGATTCAGACAGCTTTTTCCTTTTGTAAACTCGCTGCTTTACAGGGGAAAAAATAGCTAGAAATAGCCTGTCTAGTACCCAATGAAAGGCTGTGGATTAAGGCATTGCATTAGTGAAACAGCTGCATGAATGTGAAACAGAAAGTTCTCCAGCTTCAGCCATTATGGGTTTGTTTGGTTAGGGCTAATTTTGGAAGTCATTATAGCAAAGGTAAATGACTTGCACAGGAGACTACTGTAAACAAAAGACTCGATGCATTTACTTTGGCAAGAGCCTTGAGGAGTCTCAGGCCTTTGACTGCCTCCTTTATGCAGCCTCCTGTGCTGCTCTCACTGCCTGCCTCTGTGTGCAGGCAGCTCTCACTTCCCTCCCTGCCCTCTGACAGCTTCTTTTTCCCCTGACAGGTAGGATTTAAGGGTGGCAGCACCTGCTGCTGAATTGCTGGTGTGTCGCTGTGGGATACCTTTATTTTTGTAGTAGCTGTCCATTTCTAAAGCCACTGTGCTTTGCTCAAGTTAGGAATTTGCTCAGTCTCTTCTGGTCTCGCACTGGAGTATACTGTTTCAAATGCTTTACTTTTAATTATGGCTCCTTGTGGATTGCTTTTTGTGTTGTTTTTTTTTTAAAATTTTGTCATTTAGCAGCATGAAACCTACAAATTCTAAGTATCCTGATGCTTGCCTCAGTTTTCTAGTATTGCAGTGAAGACTAAACCATGAGAACTGTAATTCCCTTCAGGTCTCTAACGGTGTGGTTCAGTCAAGGCTCTGCCCATTCCACACCTACTTACTCACACTTGTGTAGGTGGAGAGGCAGATTCCATGATGACAGAAGGAGTGTCCAAGCAGATCCTGCTCCTTCCCTTTTACAGAGCTCCTTGTGAACATTTCACATGGGTGAAGCAGAGCTTTCATTGCTCCCTAAAGCTGGGAGGAGGAGGTAGAGGGGCAGGGTCAGAATCCTCTCCTTGTGCACTCATTTTCTGGCACATCTTTTCTGAACTCCCTGGCTGTTGGGTGACCCAGGAAACTCCCCTTTGTAGTCCCTGTCAGGGGTGACTTCTGATTGCTGTTGCTTCCCTGATTGCTGGGAAATGCTTTCAGTCAAGGAGTGTTTGTTCAGGCCTACTTTGAGTCGTAAAACAGATGGGGCAGACTCTACTGTTAATTATTTTTTAAAATACAAGATGATTATACTGAATCTTCAAATCATAAACCCATCCCTGCATGTTCTCACATGCCTCATGCCCATGTGGGATAGCAATGCTCCTACTCATTTTGCTGCATAACTGGTACCAAAGGAGCCTATAGAGTCATTTTCTTCTGCTGCTGTAGAGGAGAAGATTATCTTTATCTCTGAAACTGCTCCCTTGATGTGCATTAACTAGAAATACAGTAATTGAGAAGCTGTAGGAAAAGATTTGGTCTAATAATAGCCCTGATCTCTAAAATACAGTATAACTGCACAATAATTACACACTACAATGTTTGACTAGTATGACTGATACAAACAAGCCAACCATGGAATGGAGTGCCTGGAAAGAGGTTTTATTTCAGATTAATTTCATCTCATGCTGTAGATACAAGATGTTTGTGTGCTTTCAGGTCAGGCAACTGATTCTGAAGAAAAAGATGTGGGTTTAGCTGCATGAACTCTATTGAACTTCCTTCCACCTGCAGGATCTGTGAATGTCAGGAGAACCACATAGCTCTGCTCTACTGGTATTTGTCTCCAATGTGTTATAAAAGCAGAAAGGTATTACAAAATTCTCTTAAGAGAAGCATTCTGCACTGCAGCTTATTGGGGAAAAAGGCAAAAGATACACCTCTTGAAAAATCTAGCACAATGTTTTGACTTTACAATAAGTAATAAAATACAGACTTTTTTTTTTTCCTGTGAGGAGATGGTTTAATGTGATCACATCCTTCTCTATAAGCTAAGTAGTGAGGTTTGGTTACTGCTTCCATTGAATATAAACCCAAAGTCAAGTGCAGAAGTTTTGGCTGTACAGATTTGTTTTAAATTTCCAGTGTGAGATTTAGAATTTCAGGGCATTTCAGGGGCAGCAGTGTGTGGCTGTCAATAGGATAGAAGCTCTTAAAGAAAGAAACACTGTGAAGTTGTGTGTGCTGTCTGCTCTCCAAAGTGCTCCATACATTGTATCCATCTGGAAGTAGGCAGAAGGTGAATGTGACTTCTTAAAGTGAAGAACCAACATCATTAGAGCAAAGATCTAAGTGATACGTAAAACTGAAGATCCGTGAATTTAATATCATAACCTTCTTTTCATCTAACAGTAAGGTAGAAGAACTGCATTTCTAGAAGATTATTCTCATGGATATTAGTGTATTCCTGATATGTTATGATATGCTATTCCTCCTAATGAATGTCTGTTGTGAAGCATGTCTTATGTCCTTTCTACACATCAGAACATGCTTTAGGTGTAACATTCTCAATAGAATGGACTGTGAATATAGACTTCTTTTATTTCAACAAGGAATTTTGTCAACTTTGCACAAATTCAGTGAACACTACAGATAGGTGCTAAAAGCCATGGCATTGGCAGGGAGGTCTGTGGGAGCTCTGACTGAGCCTCTCACTGCCTCTCATCTCCAAACCTTTAGATAAACAGGGCAGTGTCTGTGGTCCCAGGAGCTGTTGGACTCACTGCTCCAGCTGTGGTTAGCAGCAGCCAGAGAGGAGGCTGTGGGGGGTGGCCTTAAATTCTGATAGCTGAACAAATCTAGATTTGTTCTTCTAAGCTCTGAGCAACCTCTATCACCATGATTTCATTACTGAAATAGTCGCTTTTGACAGGACAAAATTGGCTGTGTGTTATGGTAGTGGAGGCAAATGCAGGCAGGACCTGCCACTGGGCTCCCTGGTGACAGGGCTGGGAGGGAAGGGTTGTGTTCCTTGTCTAATTCATACTGCACAAGGCCAGGGAAGGCTCAAAAAAGGATTATTTAAGCCTGTGAGGAAATACAGCTGCAACAGCAGGA